GTTGCCTGCTTGTGTGTGAGCGTATAGTCATTGGCTTACATACGTACCTCCGCAGACTGTCCTAGGCCGGGGCCTGTGCTTCGGACGAGATCCACGTTCTCCTGGGACCATCTCACATCTATGGAGCGACGACGACGGGCGGACTTATCAAGATAGGCTCGGCACTACTCACTTCTGCCCGCACTCACGACGGATGCGGACTTCGCTCTGTACTGCTCTCGCTCGCCGCCTGTCTCGATGCCTAGTTGCACCTTCTACAGGCCTCTACCAGTACTCATTCTCCTCGTGTCCGTGACGCTCCCTTGCTCAGTGATCTGGCGAGTCGCGACAGTCGCCACACCTCCCTCCCGCTCTGGTCGCCCCGTCCGGTCAAGTGGAAGCAGAGGATCACCCTCAGATACCACCGTGCAACATGTATAACTACTTGCTATCCAACTCCGAAGCACCATGTACGCGGCCACGCCTGGCATGCTGAGCAACTGCGATCGCGCCTACGTAGCTGACCCGTCTCGGTTCGAGCCGAATGCCACTGGCCATGGTCCTCCGACTCCGAGCAGCTGTTGTGAACGTGAGTCTCTTCTAGCTCTCGAGACTGCCTCTAAATACACAGGAATCCGAATATCCCAGCGCTGTTGTGGTTCCCTTAGGTCCGAAGAACACGCTGATAGAACAGGCCGCCCTTGTTCTCCCCCAGGTATTCCCACCACCGACGCCCGATTGCGGTGATTGCTCGTATTTATCCAGCAGCCACCTTGAATGAATGCTCTGTACCTGCACCGGTCCGACGTATATATACTTCCTCGATGACCGGACTAGAAGCGAGTTCGAATCCTGATACTGTCCTTGAGGCCTCTGGGATAGTTGTACGCATAGCTTATTGTTGCACTGCCTCGAGAGAGACGGGAAGACGTCGATGTCGGACAGTATAAGGTCTCAGCCGCGTCCGACTTTCGCGTTCACTCGCCGCCATCCTATCTGAAGTATAGATGTGGGTAGTCTCCTCGCGCATACGCGTACACTCGTTGACCACCTTTGCTTCGACAGATGTGGCTCTTGCACACAGAGAAGATCCAGCTCCGCTGGTTATCCAGCCCCGATGAAGTCTCCTACGCCGCCCTCTCGCACGTCTGGGGCGACGACGAGCAGACCTTCCAAGACACCCCGCACGTCGCCCCGGCCAACGGCTCTCTCGCCCGCGGCGCGCTCCGCAAAGCCCGCGACCGCGCCTTCCGCCGCCCCTCGCTCAAGATCCGCAAGGCCTGTGCGCGCGCCCGCCAAGACGGCTTCCGCTGGCTCTGGGTCGACACCTGCTGCATCGACAAGACGAACAGCACCGAGCTCTCCGAGGCGATCAACTCCATGTACGTCTGGTACCGCACCGCGGCGATGTGCTACGCGTACCTCGACGACGTCCCCTCGGGCGAGGACCCGCACGCGCCGGGCTCGGCCTTTAGGCGCAGCAGGTGGTTCCGCCGCGGGTGGACGCTGCAGGAGCTCATTGCGCCCGCCTCCGTCATCTTCCTCTCCGAGGACTGGGAGCCCATCGGGCCCAAGCGGCGCCTCGCGCCCCTCCTCGAGAAGGTCACCGGCATCGACGCGCGCGTGCTCACGCACAAGCGGCCGCTCGAGGACGTCAGCGTCGCGTGCCGCATGTCGTGGGCCGCGGGGCGCGAGACGACGCGCGTCGAGGACGGCGCGTACGCGCTCATGGGCCTCTTCGGTGTGTGCATGCCGACGATCTACGGCGAGGGCAAGCACGCGTTCGTGCGCCTGCAGGAGGAGATCATCCGGACGTCGCCCGACCAGAGCATCTTCGCGTGGGGGCGCACGCTCGACGACCACGGCGCGGGCACGTTCGTCGCGAACGCGCGGGAGCACGACTACGCGCACTCGGCGCACCTGGAGACGCTCCTCGCGCCGTCCCCGGCCGAGTTCGCGGGCTGCGCGGACATCAGCCCGATCTCGCGCTGGGAGTTCGCGGAGAAGCTGGGGATCCAGGAGACGGTCCCGGAGTACACGAACACGAGCTTTGGGATCAGGACGACGCTGCCGATGGTCGGGATTGCGCACACGTCCTCCGTGGACGCTGCGCTCGCGTGGCTGGCGTGCGAGGACGGGAAGGGACGGCTCGTCGCGCTGTACCTCCGGTCGCACCCTCGGATGAGCGCGAGCAGCAAGTATTTCGTCGGAGGGTACATTGCCTGTGGCGGCCGGCGGAACCACTACTACCGCGCGACGCGGTTGCGCCTGCCCTCTCCGAAAGAGAAGAACGACGTGTCCCTGCACCACCGTCCTCCCAGCGCATGTTGCCACGTTCTCTCCGAGTCCTTCCAGCCCCGCCTGCGCGAGGTGCACGTCCACTCCCACCCGGACAGCAGCGAGCGCCTGCGCCTCCCCCGGATCCGGACGCGGGACTCGTCCTCGTCCGCGCCGTCCTCGATGGTGTTCTTCGAGCCGCCGTGCACGATCGTCGTGTCCGCGCGGTGCGTGCGGCGGCTGCAGAAGATGGGCTACGTCGAGCCCAAGATCCCGGACGGCGGCTTCCGCCTGCAGACCCCGGGGGACTACCGCAGCATCTCGTTCCTCGGGCCCGTGTGCTTCACGGTGCACCTGGGGGTCTGCCCGCTCGATCTGTCGAGCATCCCAACGCAGACGAGCCAGCTGTGGGCGTCGGTGCGGTTCGACGCCGGGGTGGACGATTTGCTGGGGACGTGCTACGGGACGCTGCGGTGCTCCTCCGCGCCGAAAGGGGGGAGCTCCGCCTCGAGGAAGGCGGTTGCGGCTGCGGCTGTAGCGGGAGATGGAGATGGGGATATTATACCTGACGAGAGCATGCTGGTCCAGACGTGGAAGAACGGGTTCGAGACGTTCGGGAGCAGGGGGAAGCAGGTGCGCCTGACGTTCAGCTATCCGTGGTCTTATTCGGCGGAACACTCGATGGCGGAGGTGTACGAGCTGGACATACGGTATGAGGGTTAGTGTGGTCACTGGCCCACTGCATCTTGCCACTGGGGGTAGCAGAACGCCGGGACGGCGAGACTGCCGCGACAGCTGTCAGTAGTGCCGGCTAGAACTGAAGTTATACATCGTCCCCGCTGCACTTGGTATCATAGTTCATACACTTCAGAGAGCCTGTAGAGGAGTTTGTGAGCACAGCAGAAGCTATCAGAGCTCTCGAGAATGCGAACTCGTGAAATTCACGGGCACAGACGCTGCCGGCGTCAACTTAAACCTCTACCATCACTGCAGGTGGTCGGTAGCAACGTGTGCGACACACTTGCACCACAAGATTCCCAACGATCATGCCCCGATTCCTCCATATACCTCACGCAATCCTGGTCACCATGACCAGTCCAGGGGTACTTACAACCTCACTGCGGCGGATCGCAAGGCTCGATGGCGGGCCGCAAGGCGATGTCAGGTGGTACGAACCGGTCCCGGCGGAAAGGCATTCGACGATGCTCCTCCTTCCGGGCCGAGTCCGACAGGGCTTGCCACTATCGCGCTCACAGGATCAGGCTTCGAAGTATCTTTCAGAAGGTATAAATAGGACGGAGAAGCCCCTACGACAGGAGGGATCTATATAGTGCACGCCTCGCTCGAACGACACTCGATCCCAATCGGCCTCGTATCATGGCGGCAGACATACCGAGCTTCACCTTGAACACTGGGCACAAGATGCCCTCAGTCGGCATGGGGTGAGTCTCTGTTTGCGTATAGTAACGGGACACGGACTGTCTCAGACTGATGACAGTGAGTATTCGTACAGAGACTGAGTTATACTCTTTGCATGCAGGTGCTGGTTGGGCCCTAGCGGTGGCGGGGACGTTGTCGAGCAGATGTGCAAGACAGCGTTGGAGGTGCGACCACAAATTCCCGCGTTCCTAAGCAATTCCGCTGACCCTACCTTATAGCTCGGTTATAGACACATCGACACCGTGAGCAGAGTCATTCATCGGTGCTCGAGCAGGACCCAACGCTGAACTCTCACACTGTCGCAGGCATACGGCTACTTCAACGAAGAGAAGGTCGGCAAGGCGATCCGCGAATCCGGCGTGCCGCGTTCCGAGATCTTCCTCACGACGAAGCTCCCGAACCATCACCACGCCCGCGTCGCCGAGTCTCTGCAGGAGTCGCTCGACAAGCTCGGCGTGGACTACGTCGACCTCTACCTCATGCACTGGCCGCAGGCGTACGGCGCGGACAACAAGCCGATCCCGTACGGCCAGAGCCCGACGTTTGTCGAGACGTGGAAGGACATGGAGAAGCTCCTGGGGAGCGGCAAGGTTCGCGCGATTGGGGTGTCGAACTTCTCCGTGAAGCTGTTGGAGACGCTGTTGGAGGAGGCGTCGGTCGTACCCGCTGCCAACCAGGTCGAGCTCCATCCGTGCCTGCCTTCCTTTGAGCTGAAGGCGTACTGCGAAGGGAAGGGTATAGTCCTGACGGCATATTCGCCTCTCGGTACGTCTGCATGCCTGTCACACCACGATTGAGTACTCAGACACTTCCCCAGGTCGTCCGAAGGAGTACGACGGCAAACCGGTCTTCTTGACAGATGAAGACGTTGTCAGGATTTCGAAGGCACACAACGCAACCCCAGGCCAAGTCGCCCTCAGCTGGGGTGTGCAGCGCGGTACGATCGTGATACCGAAGAGCGAGAACCCGGAGAGGATCAAGCAGAACATAACGGTGGGTGCACCTGGGACTCTAGCCTTCGGACGCGGTGTCTAACGGCTGTGCAGTTGATCAAGTTGACCGACGAGGATATGGCGGCATTGGATGTGATACACAAGAAGCCAGGGATGCACCGTTCACTGCTGCGATACCACTCAAATTCGGCGGATGGGACTGTGTTTGGTTGGACATACGAACAGATGGGTTGGAACATGGTGAAGGGAGGAATCGTGGCGTAAGGGATACTAGCACGATGTTCCTGTGTATCCTTTCGGAATGCTTGCATGCGGAGAGTGGACGAGACAAAAAACCGAAGGCTAGTCGAAAGGCACTACCAGGGTTCGAACCTGGGTTATGGGAAGGGCCACGGATCGCGGACCGACACGGTGAGGGGTCGGTCCGCAATCCGCTTTCAAAATCCCAAGTGATAACCACTACACTATAGTGCCACGCTCCGCATATCCTCTCGCACCAATATGTCGTTATGCTTATCCCCTGTACCTTGGTCTGCGACTTCGAGGTTTGCTGCGATGTAGGTTACACGTACGAGTACATGCCACTTGCATCGCATCTGCAAGAGGAACCCTAAGACACAACGTCCAAGCCGTACCATGTCTCAGGAATCCGTTGTACTTCGAGGGTATGAACGTGAGACGAAGGCGCGGCAAGATTACCGGGGACTCCCCGAAGATGATTCTTGTCTGCGGTCACTTCCAAGGAAACGAAGATTGTGTGTGCTACTGCCTAGTACTGCCATCGAGCAATGTCTCGTATATACGACCACATAGCCGGATGTCAAGGCAATAGGAGTCTGGGTCCGGCCAGCGACTGAAAGACAGTTGCACCCTTCTGTCCTCGTCGCCGAAATGCTTGGTTGCGTTGTCCCAGAACCGGATGTGGTCCTCCGGGCAGTCATGACTGACGGCGGGAGATCGGTGAGCGCGAGCATCACCGCCGACCCTGCCAGGACCTGAGCATTCAGCCCGTGGGTCGGTGGCCCTCTGACGTAGGCCCAGCAACCATTCTGCATCCATTGATTCCCATCGTGGGACACTGATAGGTTTGGCGTGCTCGATGGATACGCTGGCAAAAGGATGAACCTTGCAGCGACCGAGGAGGATGGTGAAATCTTCGCCGCGCGAGTTGTGCGAGAAGGAGAGAGTATATGATTCCTGGCCAAGGAGCACTGGACTGTCCGACTGTCCCACCTGGTGGAAGCCGTAGCGACCGGGCTCGACATCCACCCAGGTGGGGGCGAAGAACTCATTCGGCTCGGCAACATGCAGTCCTAGCCATGGGTGGGCTGAGCGCGGAAGGAAGTGCATAACATAGAACTCCTTGATCTGGCACGTGGTCTGCGAGGAAGGCGTCGTAGCCATGCGAGTAGGGAAATAGTGATTCAGTTCGGATAGGACGGCGGTGGTGAAGGAATGTATGAGCAGAAGTCTATAGCCTTGTATACTGCGAGGCGTGAGTATCGACGGCCGCGCCGCACCTGAAAGCAGGGCTGCATCCTCTGCGAATGAGGCACCGACATGATACCGAGGGAGACGACCGCCGTCCTCCGCTCGCCGGTGTAAGAGCAGTCCGACGACGTGCCGATCTCGATTCTGACAGTCGAGAATGGCGACCGCATACGAGCCGCCGTCAGCGATGGGGAGCTGACAACGGACTCCAGCACCGGTGATGGTGAAGTCAAGCGTATCCTGAAGTTCGCAATGAGATGAGTACGAGGTATAGCATCGTTTGTTTGGGGCTTACATATCGAACGACAGTCGAATCCGCAAAGAATGTTGTCATGGCTGTTGCGGCGACAGATGGCGCCGCGGGGGACATATGCGCGGAGTTTTTAAAAGCTGAAGGGGATGGCGCGAACAGATAGTTGGTTGGGCTTTGAGTATCTGTGACAAGTCCAGGAAGAACTGCATGAAGCATCTCTCCCCAAGCAAACAGAGTGTGGTCGTTGGTGTGCTTCAGGATCTCCTCCTGCAGTCTGCGGAACGCCGCCCGGCCCTCGCCATATATGGTAGACATGTGAACACCAAAGATACCCATGAGCGAGTACGCTTCGTCCTCGAGTAGTCTGCCTGCGCACTGCCCACGACATGCGGCGGGCAACACTGACGTTGGTCACGTCGCGGGTGAAGGTCAAGACCTCGATATCCACTCCAGAGACGTCCTGGATTAGATCCGCCAAGGCAGACTTGGTGCCAAGCAGGGCCCAATTCGAAGAGAGGAAGATGAGGTACCGAGGAGCGATTCAACTCCTGGAGGGTCCATCCGCGAGTGAACCACTTGCTCCGGCGGAATGCAGACTTGGGGGCGCGGATGTTGGAGTGTGGGGGTACGTCGTACAGAAAAGCGTAGCAAATCCGGGCCTTGGAGTACCACTCGAACATCGAGTTGATGGCTTCGGAGAGCTCCGCGCTGCTGGACTTGTCGATGCAGCAGGCGTCGATCCACGCCCACTCGTACCCGTGGCCGTATGCGATGCGGCAGGTCTCCTTGATCTTGACAGAGACAAGAGGATCGCAGAGGGCCACGCCACGGGAGATGAAGAGTTGGATGTCGGCGAACGACTGCTCGGGATCCTGCCAGACATGAGATAGGACTGCGTAGCCGCCGGGGACGACGTCCGGGGTATGGAAGTAGACAAGACGGAGATTCTCTGTCGAGAGCAGCCACATGGGTGCCAGTTCTTCCAGACTCCAGAGGATTGGACTATTTGAAGGGGTCCGAACCTCTACACAGCCGCCGTGGCGAGGATGTTGTACTGGGGAAGCGTTGTTTTCCTGAGCCTTTTCCTCGTACAGCTTCACCTCACTCCGAGTGTCGAGACTGGCTGTCATGAACATTCTCAGTCTGTGTTTGACCGCATATCAATCAACGGAAGCAAACACAGCACGACAGCTGCTTCGACCTACTGAAAGGCTAAGATTGTACCGTTGCGCGGGATCCGGACTCCCGGAGAGAAGCTTGAAAACTGGGTCAGGTACCATGGGATGGTTGGAGGCTGTGAACATCCAAGCACAGCGCAGCATTGCTGTACCGCATACAGCTACAGCGTATCTTCAGAGCCACGAGTTCACGTGAGGTGTTCTGCATCTTGCCAGGACTGACTCGGAGCAGGACGAGGACCGAGGGGAGGAGCATCTTGAAGACGGAGACGCCGTCAGGCGCTAGCGCTACAGTACGGAGCACGTGGCCAACGCGTACTGTACTCGAGTGGCCACTGCGGCTGCGGCCTCTGTCTTGCTCACCACGCTCACCGTCTTCGACTACTACGTTCATGTCCTCCACGCCATCCTCAGCAACACCATCGCCCTCGTCATCCTCTGCGTCCTATCAATCGCCAGAACCGCCACCCCGCCAGGAGCTCTGGTGGGACCGCCTCCCCTCCCTCAAGATCGTCCGTCCGCCGAAGGGCCCGTTCTCTCCCCAGGTCGACGAGCGCTGCTTCACCTTCTGCAGCCAGAGCATCTCCGGCCGCATACACGGACAGGACCCCGGTGCCGCACCATCTGCCTCCGCCGCGTATTCAAGCACGAGGTCGAGCGTGTGCTCGCCCACCACCGCACCCAGACCCTCAAGCATGTCCCGGGCAAGAAGCCCGTCCTTGAGGTCAAGGACGAGGTGGAGACCGTCCCGATGAAACATCCCCTCCCGCCGGAAGGGCAGAGGTACAGCGGGTGGCTGGCCATGCTCCTCGGCGACCGCTTCGGTCATGGCAGTGGCAGTGGCAATGGCGCGCTTGGATCTGGGGACGACCACAACCACGAGCACGAACAGGCGCACACGCAGAGAGAGACGAAGCATTGGCAGGAGGGCTGGTACCTCTGGTGGTCTACCAGCCGCTGGGCGGTGCAGGAGAAGCTCGATCTCATGCGCAAAGACCTCGAGGGCCAGTCCGAGTGGCAGCGGTTCAAGGACAAGCGCAACGACGAGTGGGCGCGGGGTGTGCCCCCTGGATATGAGGAGCAAGCTCAGCACGGGGACGGCCAGCACCAAGATGTGCACCCGTTCGAGGACCTGGGGAATGCGCTGCCGTTCCCAGACGTAACGTGAGTCTCCTGCTTTCACTTTCCAGCCTACGTCCCCAGCCCCGAGTGGTCAGCGTTCCACTCGAGCGTGCATATCCCACCCACGTTTGCGAGTGGTATGACGAGATGTGTTGTATCACATCGCGTACTCACAGAACTGACGAACGTCCCTCCATCCCTCCGAGTCCTCGTTCGCTGCTCACATCTGCCTTATCGACGCTAACCCATCCTCTGTCACAGATCCCAATCACTCCTCCTCCCGCTCCCCGTCCCTCCAACGTCCCTCCCGTCGCTCTACACCGCGCTCGAAGACTCCGTCCGGCCCGCGCTTGCCCCCGCCGGCCGCGTGCTTGCGCTCGTCGCCGCGAACCCGCACCGCGAGCTGTTCGAGCGCGTGTGGGAGAAGGCGAAGACGGACGAGCCGCGCAAGTTGCTCGTCGTCGCCTGGGGGCGCGTCATGGAGAACTTTTTCGGCGGCGAGGAGGGCGGCGAGGGCAGGGGCGAGGGGAGCAGGGGAAGGGCAAGGATGAGAAGCGGTAGAATGGGTTGGAGGGTGCTTGGTCTGGGTCGAACGTAGACTAACGAGGACTTGTGCGAATATAATGCGATGATATAATGTTTCGCGAGTAATAGGCTGGGTCGTTACATGTTGGCTAGATTTTACCGACTCCGCTCTGCGGGTTCGTCTTCTCTCGCACTCCAACATACTGCGCAACCGAGGGTCGTGGTCGTGACTTGCATCTATCCGAAGCAATCCAGGTACAACTCAGAACGGCCAGTGTCCATGAGGCTCTTGAGATGACCGGGGAGCGTGTTGGTCTAAGGCGTGTGGACGACTCGACAGCGACGACACTGCGGCGCGTAGAGTAGCGAACAGTGCGTGGTGCGACGCAGGTCCTTCGGAGAGACCGAGGCCGACTGAAACAGCAGACTGTCGTCTAGAACCGACTGCGACGATAACATGCAGGACGGTCACTATGCGAGGTCATGCGGCGTGAAGTTCACGAACCTAGCTGGAGGACCAAGGGTGCCCCAGGCCCAGGTTGTATGTAGGCGGCGTTCAACTGTATGCCGGCACCTGCGTCCGGGATTGCAAACGGTGACAACGCGTAAATGCATGCACCGCGTCCAGGTGTGTGGGGCGGCCAATTTCTTGGCTCGGGTACTCACCTGATGGTGCGGGTACGCCTTGGGACTCGGAGCGAGCGCAAAGTCGGTCCTAAGGGTATGTCGTGCGATGTGTGTGCGAGGTGATACGGTGATACGGTGATTCTTGTATGAATGATACAACTCATCTACATGAAAGTTTACGCAGCGAATGTGGATGTGACCTGTGGGCAGTATCAGCGAGCTGTCGACAGCAGAAGCGGGAGGGGATGGATGAATCAGGGGTGTCAAATTCTGGAGCA